TTTTGTATCCTGCCACATTAACTGAACGTGTTTATCAGCTCTGAAACTGAGAAGTTTCTAAAAGCAAAGGACACAGTCACTAAGACAAAAACAGCAGCTTATAGAATGGGGAAATCTTCACTAACCCCACAAAGAGAGGGCTGATCTCCAAAATAAATAAAGAACTCAAGAAATTAAACCTCAAATTACCAAATAATCCAATCAAAAATGGGATACAGATCTAAACAGAGAATTCTTAACAGAAGAATTGCAGATGGCCGAAAGATACTTAAGGAATTGCTCAACATCAGAGAAATTAGCCATCAGGGAAACGCAAATTAAAACGACTCTGTGATACTCTGTGATCGTACACCAGTCAGAATGGCTAAGATAAAAGGCACCAATGATAGCTTATGCTGGAGAGGATGCAGAGTAAAGGGAACACTCATCCATTGCCGGTGGAGTGCAAACGTATACAGCTACTTTGGACATCAGTGTTGCGGTTTGTCAGAAAATTGAGACTCAATCTACCTCAAGACCCAGCAACACCACTCTTGGGCATATACCCAATGGATGCTCACTCATACCACAAGGAAATTTGCTCAACTGTGTTCATAGCAGCATTATTCCTAATAGCCAGAACCTGGAAATGACATTGGTGCCCCTCAACTGAAGAAGAGATAAAGTGGAGTACTACTCAGTAGTAAAAAAAAAAAAAAAAAAACAGTGACATCTTGAAATTTGCATGCAAATGAATGGAACTAGGAAAATAAAACATCCTGAGTGAGGTAACTCAGACTCAGATAGACAAACATGGTATGTACTCACTCATAAGATTAGACATAAAGCAAAGGCAAACCAGCCTACAGTCCAAGATCCCAGAGAAACTAGGTAACAAGGAGAACCCTAAGAGAGACATACATAGATCCCCCTGGGAAGGGGAAACAGACAAGATCTCCTGAAAACATTGAGGGAAGGTGGAAGGAGATAGGAAGGGGGAAAGGGGAAGGAGGAGGAGAATATGAGGGAACAGGATGCTCAAGAAAGGAGAAGGACAGAGAGGGAGAGAGACGAAAGAGATATCTTGAGGGAGCCATTAAAGGGCTAGTGAGAAACATGGTACTAAGGAAATTCCTCGGAATCCACAGGATGACCCCAGCTAAGACTCTAAGCAGCAGTGAAGAGGACAGCTAAACTGGCCTTCCCCTGTAATCAATTTGATGATTACCTTAATTGTTATCATAGAACCTTCTCCCAGCAACTGATGGAAGCAGATACAGAGATCTGCAGCGAAGCACTCGACCAAGCTACCTGAGACCAGTCCAAGAGAGAGAGGTGCAATATATGAGCAAAGGGGTCAAGACCATGATGTTGCTAGCCACTGAAACAGCTGATCTGAGCTAGTGAGAGCTCACTGACTCTGGACTGATAGCAGGGGAACCTACATAGGACCAAGCTAGGCCCACTGAATGTGGGGGACAGTTGTGAGGCTTGGGCAGTCTGTGGAGCCACTGCAGTAGGACCAGGATTTATCCCTAGTGCTTGAACTGGCATCTTGGAGCACATTTTCTTTGGAGGGATACCTTGCTCAGCCTAGATATAGGGGAGAGGGCCTTGGTCTTGCCTCAGAGTGAAGTGTCCAACTTTGTTGATTCCCCATGGGAAGCCTTACCATTTCTGAGGAGTGGATGGAAATGGTATGGGATGAGGGAAAGACTGGGGTGGTAGGAAGGGAGGGAGTAGAAATGGGGACAGCTGTCTAAAATGAGAAAAGATCGTATTAAAAAAATTTAATAAAAAAGTCAACTTTCATTAAAAAAACACTGTTTGGGAGCAGGAGTGCAAGTCTTGAACCCCAGCATGTGAGAGTCAGAGGCAGGTGGATCTAGTTCAAAGCCAGCTTGATCTACATAGACAGGCCAACCAGGGCTACATAGAGAGACCCTGTCTGGAAAAAAAAAAGCAAAATCCAAGCAAACAACAACAACATGGGAGAACGCACACTTCCCAAACAGTGCTGTACAAGCACAAGGACAAATGCTGGTATTAAGACAGGAGAACTGTGAGTCCAGAGCCAAAGCCATTTGCAGCAGGGTGCCAAGACGATTCGATGAGAAAAACAACAGACTTTAGCAAATGATGCTGGATTAAAAAAAATACCTAGAAACCAACATCCACAGCAATGAATTTGTATAAACTGAGAGTAGACGAGAAATTCTTCTCTATCGTACAGGGAATTTATTGAAAAACTACACTAACATTACACTCAGTGGAAAGACTGGAAGCTTTCCTTTCCAACTAGGAAAAAATACAGGAGGTGTGTGTGTGGGGGAACATACACAGAGAAAAATCAAAACACATCAAAGGCCTATACATGTAAGAACTAAATCTCTAAACTCTAAGAAGAAACAGGTAAATTTCATCATCTTGAGTAAAGCAGTTTTTAATACAACAGCATAGGCACAATGAAGAAAAACACATGCAGAGGAATGGGGAAAATGTATAGCTCAATAAAAACAATAAAAAGAGAAAAACAGGGGGCTGGAGAGATGACTCAAACGTTAAGAGCACTGGCTGTTCTTCCAGAGGTCCTGAGTTCAATTTCCGGCAACCACATGGTGGCTCACAGCCATCTGTAATGAGAACTGGCACTGTCTTCTGGCGTGCGGCCACACATGGAGGCAGAGCATTGAACACACAATAAATAAATCTTAAGAAAATGATGTAAGTATGAAAAGGTGCTCAACATTACACATCAGAGAAATGTGAAACCAAACCACAGTATGACACCACTTCACATTCACCATGCTGGTTGAAATAAAACAGATAAACATCGAGTATAGACCAAGATGGAGAAATTCAAACCAGAGAGGAATAAAATCCATGCCATAATATGGATGAACCTTGAAAACAGCACAACAGCTCTATATAATTGTGTACGTCCATTTACACAGAGAACAGGAAACCGAGGTCATGAGGAGAGCTCAGAGAGGAAAGGAACTTACAGTCCAGTCTGACCACCTAGGTTTGATTTCTGGGATGCACGTAGTGGAGAGAACTCCCTCAGAATTCATCCTCCGACCTCCACATGCACATGGTGCTACACGTGCATGCGCACACACACAAACACAACACAAAAAATAATAGAAAACATTTTACAGATAAATCTACAGAATAGATTGGTGTTTACCAGATAACAAAGGCAGAGTGTAAGTGAAGCTCTGTGCTTAACAGGCATACAGTTCCCTTGTGTGTGAGTGTGGGAGAGGGCGATTATGGAAATACCCTGGAATCAGTGGTGATGCCTCTGCAGGACTGTGAGTATATTAATGAGCATTTAATTATGTTTTTAAATTATTTAAATGCTCAATTCTATCATTTTTAAAGGTAAAAAATAAACTTTTATCTGACGTATATTTGCATCTCTATGTGGAACAGAAGCTGAAATAACACACAAAAAATGGGGGTGGTAAATTATTTTTTCCTCTTTAAAACCTCTTAGCTTAGCATATCACTCTTTATAGCACATATATACACAAAACTGAAGCCAACTAAAAAACACTGTGACAGTTACAATACGGCTCTGAAAATGAATGAGATATTTCAGAATCTGAAAAAAAACATATAATTACTGAGTGAAATATTTATATATGAACATACATACTATGTATATAGGAACATACACTTCTATCTGTAAAAGCGCTTCACAGTGGTAACCAGAAGAGTTTTTGAGACTTTTAATTTATACCACCTCGTATTATTTCATAATTTCATAAAAATAGTTTTAACTCAAATAATATCTGAACCCTTTTTAAAAATATAAGTTCATATATTCAGATGACTGTTAAAATATCAGAGATTCAAGTTTATCTGTTGAATAAAACATGCAGCATATGCAAGGGAAGACTTTTTAATATGATTTTTTTACAATCACAAAATGGATGTTCCAATAAAGCAACATACATTTTCTAATATATCACATTTATTATAATGCAGTATTTGTAGACAACTTGCCACAAAGACATTTTACATATTATATATGCCCCAAGAAAAAAAATTATTGTGGCCAGAAAAACATCTATGTGAAAAAAGAATATAAAATAATAAACTAGCATACTTCGGATAAGAGAACCAAAAATTAGATGACTGTGATAGAAACAACTTATCATATTTGATATCTAATATAATCTGATGTGTCTTCTAAGCACAAGAATGCTATCAATTATGAAATAGGGAGAGTACATTTGCATAGTAAAGTGCTGAGTGCTTAATACACGAAAATCTACGAAAGGATGACTGTAGGATCAGAAGCCTAAAATGCATATTAGCAATATTATAGAATGTGCATTCCATCTATTTCTTAACTGTATGACACACTCTGCAAAACATACAAAAGAAAATTGACTTCACCAAGACTCCAAGGTGGCATCAGTCATACTAGTGAAAGAGAAGGCAATGGATGTTAAACTGGAAGAGCTGCCATACTGAATACTGATGGAAGATTTCATCCCCAAAGTCATTGCTGTTCCATTTCAGATTGGTTATGAGCAGTATTACAAAAAGAATGTCAACACAAGAAAAGAGACCATCACTAGCGTTAGCATGGGGCTGACCTATAGCTTATGTGTGTTTCAGCTACTTGGAGCTAACAACTTAGGCTTTTTACAAAGAACTCAATTATGAGCAATGGTACAAGTACCACCGAAAAGGAACCAGAATAGAAAGCACTCTGTGCTTTTTAACGTGACTTCCTGCCAGCTCCCAATCATAAAGAATTCAAGTCAGACTGAACCTTTTCATAACCTGAGAATTAAGGTCCAAGAAGAGGTGAGTGGCACATGCAAAAAAATAAAATTAAAATAAACAAATACTTGGAGGTAAAAATGAGAAACTTGAGAGAATTTACACCTTTACTTATTTAATAATGATGTTAACAAGTGGGGGGGAGACTTTCCTGCCACTCAAAACCCACTTTTACTTATCTAATAAGAATGTTAGTAAGAAGGAAAAGAAAATCTTACCTGCCACTCAAATTCGCTGTCTGACCAATCCCAGTAAGTGCTGATAGATGAGGAGACATCACTGCAGACACTTCCCTCAGGGAATAGGTCAAAAGAAGTGAAGTCTTGATCATCCAACAGCGAATAGCAATCATCTTGATCTCCCACGGAAACGGACGAAAACAGCTCCTGCTACATTCCGAGCTTGCGACACTTGTTCCACAAGAAGTTAGGTTCCACCTTCAAAAGCACAAGAGAAGTAACATCAGGAACCCCAGAACCACACAACGTGAAGACATTAACAAAACCCACTTAGGATATTTGTGACGAAGGACTTTTGCAGTCTGGGGGTAGTGTGATTATTTTTTAAAGTCTTTAACCTTTGGCTGAGTTACTGTGAGGGATTATATGAAAACCCATATAGAAAACTTAACACATGCTAAAAAAAAAACACTAAATACACTATCCACTAAATTTACACATATACGCGCATGTGTGTGTTTGGACCAGAATACAACCTTGTGTCGGTTTTCAGGAACTGTCCTACCTTTGTTCATTCACCCATTCAACAGTTGTTAGTAATAGCTAAATGCCAGATAATATCTTCAGTGCTGGGGGAAGCTGCAACTAATTGTTTTTAATTAGAATTGCCTTTCAGCATGCAAAAATCCTGTGGAAATATGTTTGCCTCCCTGAGCAATAATGACGTTCATCACATGAAGTTTGTCTGCCACACTTAACAATAACTAGTCAATCACTGACAAGAGTCAGGCCTTTGCTTGCTTTTGTACTCTTACTGTGCTCCTTGGGCTTCCAGGGGTGTGTGTGTGTGTGTGTGTGTGTGTGTGTGTGTGTGTGTGTAACAAGGCTCTAGAATCCTCTCAGATGCTCCTTGGGCTTCCAGGTGTGTGTGTGTGTGTGTGTGTGTGTGTGTGTGTGTGTGTAAAACAAGGCTCTAGAATCCTCTCAGATGCCACGGACTTTTTTTATCAGCATCGAGTGAAAAGGATTCACAGCTAAAACAAAAAATTGGCAAAACAGAAAAATAGCACCTTTTCCTGTCACAGATTTTTAAACTCCATATATGTATAGCTAGTCTAATTTAGAAATATAATTCTTCTTATCTTTAAGCAATGCAGATAAAACAAAGTAAGTAATATTTATCTATTTCTGGAACTTGGTTCTATGGGAACAAGAGGTTTATAATTCCCCTTCTAGGAATCCACTCCCTTCCCCAAATAGAAATTTGAAAAATAAAAGATGTATTACAAATATGCATAGATAATATTATTCTATTGTTTTGTTGTTGTTGTTTGGTTTTTATTTTTTCAAGACAGGGTTTCTCTGTGTAGTCTTAGCTGTCCTGGAACTCACTCTGTAGACCAGCCTGACCTCAAACTCAGAGATCCACCTGCATCTGCCTCCCAAGTACTCAGATTAAAGGCATGTGCCACCATTGCCTGAAAAACAATGTTATTTTAAAAAGAAAAAATAAATGCCCTAAATGCCCCTAGATGGAAAATTGGATAAAAAAAATGTAGTACATTTACACAATGGAGTACTACACAGCAGAAAATAATAACGATACCTTGAAATTTGCAGGAAAATGGATGGAGCTAGAAAATATATTGAGTGAGGTAACCCAGGCACAGAAAGAAAATTATCACATGTACTCACTCATAAGTGATTTTTAATCATAAAGCAAAGCAAACCAGCCTACATATCACAATCCCAGAGAACTTAGACAACAATGAGGACTCTAAGAGAGACTTACATAGATATAATCTACTTGGGTAGTAGAAAAAGACAAGATCTCCTGAGTAAATTGGAAGCATGGGGACCATGGGAGAGGGTTGAAGGGGAGGGGAAAGGCAGAGAGGGGAGCAGAGAAAAATGGAGAGCTCAATAAAAATCAATAATAAAGAAAGAAAGGACCTCAAAGCATCAAGAATGACAGCTATATCTCAACACTGGCATTTTCAGACTAAGAGTTCTGGGCTGGGGAGGTGCTTCAGTGGTTAAAGCACTTGCACCACAAGCCCAAGGACCAGAATTTCAATCCCAGAACCCATGAAAATATTTATGGTGGGGAATATTGTCCACCAGTAATTCTAGCGTTCTAGCGTTCTAAAGGCTGAGAGAGGGGACCCCCCCACACCCTGGACAAGCTGGTAAGACAAACTAGCTGTATAAGCAAACACTGGCTTCAACTGAGAGATCCTGCCTGAATGAACCAGGAGAGCAGAGAAAAACAACTATCAACACCACTTGAGCCTACACACACAAACGCATAGCACATACTCACACAGTAAACACACGTGAACACGAGAAAAAATAGAAAAATACATAATTGCAATAAACAGTTCACAAATTAAATTGTGAACACACACACAGGAGAGAGAGAAAAAAAGCCGCAAATCCAAAACTTTTGTCAGGCAAGCTTTATACTATAAATAGGATAATTCCACCCTGACCTCATATGATGTGGGGTACAGTCAAAATAAAGGTATGCTAAAAATATTATATAAAATTTCTTCAAGCTGGGGGCTGGAGAGATGGCTCAGTGGTTAAGAGCATTGCCTGCTCTTCCAAAGGTCCTGAGTTCAACTCCCAGCAACCACATGGTGGCTCACAACCATCTGTAATGAGGTCTGGTGCCCTCTTCTGGCCTGCAGGCATAGACACAGAACATTGTACACATAATAAATAAATATTTAAAAAAAAAATTAAAAAAAAATTCTTCAAGCTATGCCTGCACTACTCATGTGAAACATAAATTCAGCATTTAGACTTTGGTCACATCTCTAACATATCTCATTATGTATGTGAATACTGCAACCAAAAAATATAAAATTGGAAACATCAGATTCCAAGTATTTCACATGAGCAATCCTCAATCTGTATTTATATATAGAAAAAAAATGAAAAGAAACACAGTGTTGCCAATATTCTCTCTGAGAAAAGAGCGGCTTTTTAAAGAGCCTTCAATTTCCTATAAAGAGCTTTTGAAATAAAAATTTAAATAAGATTCTTTTAGACTGTTCTGATAGTTTTGAATTCTCAATGAATGTTGAGTGTGTGTTCAGCACGGATTCATTGAAAATTACAAGCCTTTATACTTTTAAATTGCTTAACTATTTTATGTGTATGGGTGTGCATACCATGTGCATGCTTGGTGCTCAGAGAGGCCAGAAGTAAGCACTGGATTCCTTGGAAATGGACTTACAGATGGTTATGAGTTGCCAGGAGGGTGCTGGGGATGGAATCCTCGTCCTGGGGAAGAGCAGCTGGTGCTCTTAACCACTGAGCCATCTCTCCAGCCTGAGCCCTTACATTTTAATGCTGTCGAACACCAAAATATGACCATAACATTAGACTCAAAGGATGAGAGTAATGATATGGTTGTAGTTAGAATTTGAAGAGAAAAATGTAGACAAAACTGCCAATATTTATGGTGTTTGACTTTAACAATTAAGCTTGCTGTTCTAATTGCAGGGTAATTTTTTTTAAAGAGGAAAGCCAATAGCATTTCTTCCCAAGATTGTTCTAGTATACATATGGACTAAAGACTTGGTTATTTTGATAAGCAGTCATTTAAATTCTAAAATAAAACCGTCTGCTTTTTATGGAATATATACATATTAGAGTATTACTCAGCAGTAAAAAACAACGACTTCTTGAATTTGGCATACAAATGGATGGAAATAGAAAACACTATCCTGAGTGAGGTAAGCCAGACCCAAAAAGAGGAACATGGGATGTACTCACTCATATTTGGTTTCTAGCCATAAATAAAGGACATTGAGCTTATAATTCATGTTCCTAGAGAAGCTAAATAAGGTGAATCCAAAGACAAACACATAGGCATCCTCAGGAATATTAACCTTCATCAGGCGATGAAAGGAGACAGAGACAGAGACCCACATGGGAGCACCGGACAGAAATCTCAAGGTCCAAATCAGGAGCAGAAGGAGAGAGAGCACGAGCAAGGAACTCAGGACCGTGAGGGGTGCACCCACACACTGAGACAATGGGGATGTTCTATCAGGAACTCACCAAGGCCAGCTGGCCTAGGTCTGAAAAAGCATGGGATAAATCCGGACTAGCTGAACATAGCAGACAATGAGGAATACTGAGAACTCAAGAACAATCGCAGTGGGTTTTTGATCCTACTGCACGTACTGGCTTTGTGGGAGCCTAGGCAGTTTGGATGCTCACCTTACGAGACCTGGATAGAGGTGGGCAGTCCTTGGGCTTCCCACAGGTCAGGGAACCCTGATTGCTCTTCGAGCAGATGAGGGAGGGGGACTTGATCGGGGGAGGGGGAGGGAAATGGGAAGCGGTTGCGGGGACGAGGCAGAAATCCTTAATAAATAAATAAATTTAAAAAATAAAAATAAAAAAAAATAATAAAATAAAATCCCTTGGAAAAAAAAACGTCTGCTTTTCTCAAGCCTGATCCCAGTACTCAGCAAGCTACAGCAGGAAGGAATATTTTATGAGCTTGAGCCCAGCTCAGGCTACAGAGCAAAATTCAAGAGGACCCTAGGATACAGTGTGTTCCAGGCCAGCATGTCAAAAATAAAATTAATTAGAAAAGTTTTTAAAATTAAAAAAAGAGCTAGGCAGGTCAAGTGGTGGCAGTACATGTCTTTAATCCAAGCAGAGGCAGGCAGATCTCTGTGAGTTGGAGGCCAGGACAGCCAGGAGTGTTTCACAGAAAAATCCTGTCTCAAAAAACCACCCCCCCCCGAAAAAAAAAAACAGGAGAGAGAGAGAGAGAGAGAGAGAGAGAGAGAGAGAGAGAGAAGAGCTAAGAGCTAGGCCCTTTTCTGAGGGGAGAGACAGTGGTAGATACGGAGAAGGAAGGTGGGGGAAAACGGTGGGCGGACCATATGCAGTCGGGATGTGATATATGAGAGAAGATAAAAGAGAAGGGCATGGTGCAGGCCTGTTCTAATCCCAGCATTCAGGAAGTAAAGAGAGGAGGAGAAGCAGCAACATAAGTCCCAGGCCAATTTGGTCTTCACAGTGAGTTCCAGGCCAGTTAGGACTATATAACTATATGAGACTGTATTTAAAAAGCAAAAACCATGAGGCGATCAAGATGGGTTAAAGTGCTTGGCACGCAAGCCTGAAGAACCTCCAGTTCCATGCCTACGTGGGAAGATTACAGGAGTATAAACAGCACAAGCCTGGAGATGGGGATGTATCTCAGTGGTAAAGAGCAGTCCCTAAAT